CTCGGGAACCTCCGGCTCTATCCGTACCTGCTCGGGAACCTCCGGCACTGCTCGGGAACCTCCGGCTCTATCCGTACCTGCTCGGGAACCTCCGGACCTGCTCGGGTACCTCCTGCATCGTCCCTGGTACCTGCTCGGGTACCTCCTCATGACATTCCTTACCTGCTCAGGTACCTTCTTCTATACCCCGGTACCTTTCCTGGGACCTCCTCACAATACCTTCTCCTGATCTTTGTTTCCTGCCCCGGTAGCTCCCCGCACCCTCCGGTAGCTCCCCGCAGCCGCGGCCCCTGCCGCGCCCGCGCCAGCGTAGCCCCGGTGCCGGCAGTGTTGGGAGCAGATCTGGATGAGCACACAGTGTAAATTGTTGCTGACTGATCATTACCACCCCATCCTCACACCCTAACACCCTCTGTTTGACCAACAGGACCAGGAGAGCACGTCGGGGTTTTTACAGACAGACTTTCCTGGGTGGTTTGTCAGTCATTCCAGCCTTTCAAAGGGCTGAGATACTGCCCTGGGTGGCTCAAAAAACCTAAAAGTGACATTAACTATTCTCATGCAGGTTTGGTTTTGTGGTGCCTGTTACATGTGGATTTCAAAGCACTTGTGCAAGAAAATTAAACTGATCAAAACTGTGCAGTCAATTCAAAGGAGAGCAAAAGACTGACTTGCACAAATTCACACCTCAGGTTTCTGCCTGCTCCTGGGTCCTTGACTTCCCTTTCGGATCCCACCAGAATGTTCCAGTGATGTGGTTCCAGCCCCTGCCTTGTGAGAGGAGGTGAAGCACGAGCTGAGGCTGCTCAGAGAGGCAGCAGGAATTCCTTCCTTGAAGAGTCTCAGAACTTGATAAGGCACTGAACAACTTGAAAAACTTTGACCTCAGTCCTGCTTCAAAGAGAGGAGACCAAAGGCTCCACGGGGCCTTTCCAATCTGAACTACACTTAAGTTGTGGTAAATTGTCAGTATTACAACTCAGTATTCTCACCTTGTGGAAAGTAAAGATGTACACCTTACATATTTTAGTGACTTGAGACATATTTCAGGTCTTGACAATGTGGATACTAATACACATTCAGTCGAAGGGTGAAGCAACAGCTTGTGTGGACTAAGCTGGCATCCCTGGAAAAACACCTGGAGTGTGTAAGGGATCCCAGTGTCCTCCCTGGGAGCACTCCACCTCAGGAGCCCTTTTGGCTCCCACTCTGCCAATAGTTCCACTGATACTCAACCCTGCAACTGGCAACAGCTCCACTCAGAGGCATCTTTTATAGATGTTTTAATATTTTAAAAATAAAAACCCCCAAATTGCAACAGCTGAAAATACTGGAAGACATATTTATTGCATCATTGGCATCATCTTTATTACATGTTTTGGTTACCTTGCCTGTTTTCAAGCATTCAAGCCACATCAGAGTGAAAACCTAGTGCTAATACAATAACTAAACCTTTTCCATAATAAATTAACTATTGATTCACCATTCCTTTATCAGAACAATACAACTGAAATACTAAGGCTATCACTGAAAAAGCAAGTTACCAAGGCCCATATAATTCTATAAAAAATGTGTAATTAGCAGAAATACTGGTTCTGCTCACTTACTTGAAAAATACACCAGAAAACTGTCCAACTATAAACAGAAGCCAAATTCTACCAATACCTGTTCAGTTCAACAGTGAGTACAGAATTTCTGTAGCAGTGAAAGATTTGCCTCCTCTGTGCAGCACTGTTTAACCACACAGTGTTTTGTCACAGAGACATTTTTCTGCACATGCAGCATATTCAACACGACAAAATATTCCACCTGCTTTAAACATTTCACTAATTAAGAGAAAACGGATTCAGACACAACAACATTAACAGCAGTTTCAGACATAAAGTATTCATTTTAGCAATACAGCCACAAAAAGTTAACTCAAAAGTTACATAGATCAAATGCTCAAGAAGGATAATTAAGTTCCAAATTAATGTAATTTTTACTGATAGAGATTTTGTTGCCTACGATAGCATTACTTTAAAAAATTGTCAAGTTATGGTAAATTAAAATTATAATGCATAACAATTCAATTCAGTCAGTTGTCACTGAAAAACAGGAGTCCAAGACAACCTAAATTCTACAAGGGTTTGAGTTGTTCTGGCAAGACCTCAGTATTACAAAGGCTGTTCTTGAACATTCTGCAATAAAATCCAAAGCACTTGCAGATGATGTTATTGATGTCCCTTGTGAGCTTTTTTCATCTATAAAAGTGGACATAAAAGAGAAAATATCAAGATAAATGTTGCCCCAAACCACTGCACAACTACAGACCAGCTTTTAGTAGACAAAGGCTTGTCACTTAATTGCTCCCATGGTCTCCAAGGCACAGAAGCAATGCTCCCTGTGTGAGGGATGCATGGATTAATCACTGGGAAACTGCTGCAGAGGCTCTCACAGACCAGCATAACAACAGAGGCTGAACAGACAGGAGACCAGCTTCCTGATAAACACAGGGATTAATTCAGAGGTCTTAGTGACACTCTCATTCTCCTTGTACCCTGTCAGGTGGCAGTGGCAAGTTCCAAGACTCTGGCTGTTTCCTACTTTTGTTCTCTCTCTCCAAGCATCAATTCCAATTCTAATGGAATTACATCTGAGACCATTCTCATGGGCACTGCACTGACACAAGGCACAATCCCACTCTGGAAGCCTGTCTTTATTTCTGCAAGTCAGCTCAGGGGCTAATGATGAAAACTGGGCTCCCAGCATTTGCCATCAGTAGAAAATTCAGTGATGAGTACCTGCACTTGTAACCTGTAGTACTTCTTGGAAAGGTCAACGCTTGTCCGTCCTTTCTGGAAAAGGTAAGACCACAAAATCAAATTCCAGTGGTTGCCCATTTTTTGGACACCGTTCAAAAGGCAGTTGATTTCTTCAGCTGTGAAATCTTTTAGGACTCTTCTCTTGTTCAGAGGTCTCATTTTCATGGCCAGGGAACACATTTTATTGCCCTGCAAATAATTCTTTTTGTGTCATTAAGAATTATGGAAATATACATAATATTTTTGCATGTGGAAGTAACATTACTGGCAATTCAACATATAATAGTTGTAAAGAAATGGTCCCACTGTAAAGGGAAAAATGCTTCTCCAAGGTTTCTTCACTGCCACCACTTATTAAAATACAGTATTTTTCTGTGATCTTCATTTCTGTTGTGCCTACATAGTTAATTCTTTTAGCAGGTTTATTCCTTTAGGTTTCTGTTACTTCCATACTGTGAAAATGTTCATCAATACAGGAAAAATCAGACCTTTAGATCCTCATTCTGAAAAGATGTCAGCTGAAAAATACTGAACTCAATTCAGGGTTAAATCAGTGTGACTGGAGTAGAATAAACACAGGAATATATTTTTAATAAGTTCATTTTGCTACTGGGCTCCTGTTAAAGGTGACTAAAACAGAAACTACGCAATTCCTGGTGCTTTTATTTGGTCATTTATAAACACATCAGTGCATGATTAGGCATTGCATAACTAACCTCATCTTTGTCAAGTGAATGTGTGCAATTTTCTTTTAAGTGCTGACATTTCTGGTTGCACATCTCTTTGACTCTCTGTCTCTTCAGGTTAACATCTTGGGTTTTTTGTAAAGCTACAAAATTGTGAACAGGGAGGCCACTTAGTCACTTTAAACTAACTAAAATATACTGAAAAACTGGATATAAAACTGTAAAGGAACATTTATTCTAATGAATCAGAATATGCAAATGTTGCTTTGTTAGTAATATCTCATTCTCCTTAGATCTTTTTCTCATAATCCACATTAAGACATAAGGACTATTGATGAGCCAGAAAAAAATAATAGTATTATTGATTTTTCAAGTGGATTTCTGTAAGAAAAAGTGTAATAGTTTATTTAATTTCATAGCCATTTATCTCCAATAGCAAGGACAGATGTTTCTCTCAATGCCCTGACCTAAATGCAAATACTGAGCTTTCAGTTGTACGTATCAGAGAATTCATTTTCTGGTAATACTCACACTTTTCATATGCAGGTGTCAAGTTATAGTTGCTAGTCCACCTAATATTTCTACCATGTTCATCTCTCTTTGAAGCATTAGATTTGTCTTTTCTATTTGGAGTCAAAAGAATGCCTTAAAAATAAACAATAAAAACCCAAGCAATAAAACATTACACACCTTTATTAGAAAAAAACCCAAAATATAAAACGTAAGTTATGTTTTCGGAATTAAAATTTAAGAGAGAACCATCTTTTAAGCCATACCACTAATCTGATCTTGGAAGAAAGACTGGAAAATTCCATTTACTTTAGCTTGCAGGAAATGCATACTTGCTAAAGACAATATATCGTTGTAATGGGATTTCAAGATGAAATACAGTTGCTTTGGTTGTGTTTATTTACATTTTAAATTAACTCTGTGGCTTTCATAAGACAAATTAATCAATTACTGAATCTGAAGGGGAAAATATAAACAAATTCAAAAATCAACGTAGTAGCTTTTACTGGGCATTAATTAAATAAAATAACCATGTGAGCAAGGCTTTTGAAAACAAGAATACTAAAACCAAAACTTTGGTGGGAATTTCAAAATTCAAATTTTAATTCTAATTTCAAAAAATAATTAATTCTTAAGGATTTCCCTTGTAGCTGTTTATTACAAGCTCCAAGTTCTCAGAAGAGCTCCCAGCAGGAACAGAAATGGGTCTAATGGAAAAACAGGACTGGAACTTCGTAAGGAGTGGTGCTGAATCCAGGTTCAGGAAGCTGAGCTCTGCTTTAAGCTTGACTAAACCTCTCCATTTTAGAAAACAATGCCACAAAAAACTGAGAAATAGCAAATGCCAAGGAAGTAACCCTGACAGGATTCAAAACAGGATCAACACAGCAAGTGCCAGATAACTTTGCAGGGAAATAATGTGTATCACACAATTTCTGATTATAGAGTATGCATTTTCTGGCCTAATTAATAAACAGATTATTCTCAGAATTTAGATGGGAAAAAAAAAAAAAGTTTTCTATCTATAGTCTCCCATGGTAAAGAATAAAGAATATACAGACAGTAAGGGCTTTTCATACCAGTTTCCAAACCAAACCCTTACTTTGGAAACTATCCTTCTTGCTCCTAAAAGTTGGTATTTCTTTAAGCAGACTGTCTTTCCTCACTGGGGCCAGCAGCATTTCTGGAAAATATAAAATGAGCACCAGTATAAATGCCAGTAAGTAGTAACTGTTTAATTTTCAGAATACCCTCTTTAAACCAGAAAAATATAGGATGTGCTTCTATTTAATTCATTAAGATCATTAAGTATCCTGGACCTGTAAGGGTATCAGGAATAGTGTGGCCAGAAGGGGCAGGGAGATCATTCTTCCCCTATGCTTGGCACAGGTGAGGCCACACCTTGAGTGCTGTGTCCGATTCTGGCCCCGCAGTTTGGGAAGGATCTTGAGACACTCGAGCGTGTCCAGGAGGCAACAAGGCTGGTGAGGGGCTGGGAACACAAGCCCTGTGAGGAATGGCTGAGGGAGCTGGGGGTGTTTAGCCTGGAGGAAAGGAGACTCAGAGGTGACCTTATCACTCTGCAGCTCCCTGAAAGGTGGTTGTAGTTAGGTGGGGGTCAGTCTCTTTCTCCAGGAAGCAAATGACAGAACAAGATGATACAGTCTTAAGCTGCACCAAAGGAAAAAATGGTTGGATATTAGGAAAAAGACTTTCATGGAATGAGTGATAAAGTTCTGGAATGGCCTGCCCAGAGAGGTGGTGGAGTCATCATCCCTGGATGTGTTTAAAAACAGACTAGATGTGGCACTTGGTGCCATGGTTTAGTTGAGGTGTTAGGGCTGGGTTGTAATTGATGATCTTAAAGGTCCCTTCCAACCCAGTCATTCTGTGATTCTGTGAATATTGAATGAAATTACTTCAGTGTGCCCATACATTTACTCACACATATTTTAACTTAATACATTCCTTTCTCTTAGGACTTGACTATTTCCGGCAATGTGAGAGTCTAATGAAAGCCCATAATGAGCATCTATCAACATGGCAAGAAACACACAAGATCCTTCAAAATAGAAATGGCCACTTCTGATCTCACTTAGTACAAATCATTGTAAAGCAAATTCAATGACTGAGTTTAAAACAGCAAGACAATCAGAAGCAAATAAACAAAAGTTCAGAATTTTAAGTGCAATTCCAAAGCAAAGGTTCCAAGTATTGAACATAAACTCCATACTCTGGTGAGTTGCACATCTGCTGTTGTTACCAGCGGCCACCCTGCGGAGCTCCCCTCGGTATCTTTCTTCAGCCTCCAGGATGACTCTGTGGTGCTCACACCTATGCAGGCAACTCTGCAACATCTTGGTGAAGGTTTTACTGTTCAAGGACAGTCCTCCGGCTATGCAACCTGGGAAAAAATAGGATATTGCAGAAATAGCAATCACAGCTTCTGAAGAAACCACCACAAAGTTCAGAGTTTTATTTTGCTCGCTAGGATAAATTTGACTTCAGGTTTTCCACATTCATGATATTTTTATGTGACTTCTTGAAATACTTTGTATTTGCTCTCTTAAAATTGTTTTCAACATTTTATGCAATTAAATTATACTGCACTTCCACTCCAAAAGTACTGAGTGAGGCACAGATACTCTACAGAACTACAAATATTGGTGGGATGGGAAGACACAGCACTCAGTTCCATTTGCACATTTATCCAGGAAAAAAAAAAAAAAAAAAAAAAAAAAAAAAAAAATATATATATATATATATATATATATTGTGTACTATATATATTTTTTTAAAACTTTGTGTTGTAACAGTTATCTGTATTAATCTAAATCAATGCTAAATGTAGTTTAGGCATCAATGCCCTCACAGGAAGCCTTGCTGTTCATTTTTGAGGACATTCCTAGCATAATTTATGGTTTAGATATCCCTGGATGCTCTCATGGCTAAGTTACATTAGCTAAAGGAGAACTTCTGTGAGGAGTCACAGGATGGGCACAAGTATCTATAACATTCTACCTTAAGGTAAAGCAGTGCTAAAGCTCAACTTGAATTTAGTTTGACAACTCTGATAAAAATAATGTTCAAAGGTGGGTTATGGGCTGCTTTGGGCGGGGGGGGTGTCTTTTGTATTCTGTGGGTTTTTGTTCTGTTGGGGGTTTTTAAATAAAGAAACATTGGCTTGATTACAAAATCCACTCATAAATCCGCAGTACCAGCAGCATTCTCATGACCTACTGATGGAGCAGGCTGAGGAAGTAGAGCCTGGGGTAATGGAGGGCTGTAGTTATGGATTACCATGAAACTGCCTGCCTGTACTTCACAGCAGTGAGGCAGAGAGAAGGGCTGCAGAACACTGAGGAGGCTTAGCAGGAGAATAAATGAGGGAAATGAGCAGGTCTGTGTGTTCTTCCTCCCTCTCTGAAAGCAGAGAAAGGAGGAAAACACCTGCTCAAGTATTCTTCTAATTAGGGAGTCATCTTTTAAGTTACTGTATGTTCTGTTTGTCAGCAAACCCATGTTATTACATGGACCAAAACTGCAATTTGTCAGCTTTATTTTAATATTTATCTTTTCTATTAGGGGGAAGGGGAAGGGAGCAGCTCAGGTTTTGTTAACACTTTGGAAGTAATAGAAGAGATGTTACAATTTCTGTCAAGTCAATCCACCTACTGTACTGCTGACTCTTTTGGGCTTCTTTATGTACTCTGGAAAGAAAGATCTAAGATAATATTTACCTAAACACCTTAAATCTGCCATTTTATGGGATGAAGGTGTAACTGAAGTACTTTTGACTCTCTCAGTTTTCTCTGAGCAGAATGGATGTTTATCTAAATGAAGGAGGAAAAAAGTCACTAAGAAATGTAACCTCTTTCGCCATGGTAATCATGCCATAGTATAACTAAATCCAACTGCACTTTCTATTTGTAGATTATTAAAGTTTAATTAACATAACAGCAGAAAATCCTAATGAAATTTCTCAAGTTAAATGCCTCACATTTCTGTAATTCCAGAATAACCATGTTCAATGCAATGTTTTTTCATCACTCTCACAAAGGGTATTACTTCAACTTGAACATACCAAATTAACCCAGTAAACCCATATTGCTTAACTAAACCTTATAAATTTTATTTTTGTTTGGAATCAAATGCTGAAAAATGTAATCTATTGGAATAATACATATTCTCAGTTTAAACAGATGTAACCTGGAAATCAGCTGGTCACCTATAAAGCTCCCATTCTGGCAAATTCTAATCTAATGAATACTCAGTAATTTTATAAATTAACAGGAAAGTAAATAATGAATAAAGATTTGATTGAACCAATCCCAGTTCTGAAATAAATGTATCAGACCAGGATTAATGCAAATCTGAAAATATTTTCTCTTAAACACATGTTCACCATGTAGGAATAGCATAACACAAAAGTCACTCTTACAGGCAGGTTCTATCCCAGCCTTACAGGCACAGGAACAAAAACCTCCATTTTCTGTTAGTGGCTTTCACTGATCAGTACAATCTCTGATACATTCATTTGCATAGTTAAAATCGTTTAAAAAAAGAAAGCTAAAATATGTATCAGAAGAAAAGTAGGATAAATGTTCTCCTGGTAAAACTGTGTACAATATAAAATTCCAACACTATGCAACCAGTTAAAGGATATTACACATAAGGCACCTCTGTCATTTAATGATACATAACAAGTGATAAAAAGTAGTGCTAAATGTATGCAAAACTAATTAAAATCTCATTAAGAACAAAATTAGCTCAGAAAGGAATATGTGTAGCTATTTGTACCTGGTATGCATGTCTGTTTCATATTTCTAACAGTCTCTGCTGGTTGTTTAAATAACTGTTCACTGGGAAGATCAAAATGTAATCAAATTAAAACCAATAATAATACAATAAAACCAAGGTACATTTACCTGCAAATGAATACACACATTCCAAGGGCACAACAAAAACCCATATTAAATATATAAAAGAGAAAACTCTAAAAAAATTGTTCTAATTATCCCAAGTTACTGGACTTAGGGCACCCAGTGTGTAATCAGTGCATGTTAAAACCTGTTTCCCAGAGATCTGTGATTGGCATTCTGCGCAGTCTATTCAGCAGGAAGGGCAGAGCTAACACTGGTTTCCAGAGTAATTTGCAATTCAGATTCACATAAGGATTAGCAAGTGCACATAAAGTTCTCACAAAGTCTTCAGAATACTTTAGCCTTCATCATTTGCAGCAAATACTCTAAAAGGTAATTGGTTTTCTTCTTTTCTTAGACCAATTAACTTCTGTGCAACAAACACACTGCTATGATACCCTGGTGGAGCATTTTTGTGTCCCTGACTCTGAAAGCTGCAGGAGCAAGAAGCCTGATCCATGGTTACCTTCCAGTAATTCCTGTGTTCACACAAACACATATTTAAAAAGAGGGTTCTTTTTAATTGATATTTTAAGAATTTTGTGCATCAGACCAGAACAACAACTAAACAAGCCGTGAAATTATGCTAATCAGTAGCAAAGCAAAATTTACCTGAATGTACCATGGAAAATATCCAGGCTCTTGGTGATTTCTGTGGTAGTTGCAAAGTAACAATATAATACCAGGAAACTGCACAGAGTAAGGTGCAGCCAGACACATAAAAAAAGTACAATAAAAACGTGGAACTCAAAAAGCCCAAAACAAAACATAAAACCCCCCAAAAATGTAGTTTTGTTTTACTTTTCCATTGATTGTCTTGAGAGATATTCCAGATATAAACTCAAGAGAATGGAATCTGTATTTACCATTAGAAGTTATCTGTAAATAATTGTGGGTGTATCAATAGGAAAGATAAACATAAGCAGCAAAAGAAAAAGAGGAAAATTAGCATCTGTGTGGGAGCAACGAGCAAGAGAACAACCCCAAATAGGACTGTTCCTTTCCTTTCCCATGCAGGGCAGCACTGGAACATGAGGGGAGAACAGCAGAGGTGCAGAAACTTTTCCCCCTACTTTGCAGACACTCCAGTTTCAGTATTTTTCCAAGTAGTTCTCTACCTGTTGCTTCCCTAGCAAGTGCACATTACAGAAACCACTGTGGTTATGTCCAAACCAACAGCTTAAATCTTGATCTGTTACACCAGCGAGAACTTTGGGGCAAAAGCCATGGATGATTTTCAGCACTATGCTGAAGGCACTCAGCGTGCCCTGAAAGAGGCTCTCTGTACAACACCAGCACTCGGAGATCAGCAGCTTTGTTACTGCAATGACTGTAATCTTTGATCTGTGACCTCAAAAACAATCTCTGATGGGCCACCAAAGGGCTACATCTTTCTACTAGGAAAAACACCCATAGTTAGTAAAAGATAATTTTAAAGTCTGTCAATCTGGAATGACTAAAGAAAAACAACTTAGTATTTCTGCTTAGGTATAAGATTCTCACCCTCCCTGAAGACCAGACTGATTTTTTCCACAAGCAGTTTTTCCATTTATATTGTGACTTTGCGGTACACTGTCTGTTTGCAGCTCAGTGACTGAACTTGGAATGTTCCTCTGTTCAGTTTGTCTGGTAGAAGCTGCATCCATAGTGTTCACTGTTTCATTTTTTTGTGGAGCAGAAGTTACAGATGGAGCAAGAACAGGATTATTCAACTCTGAGGTCAACTGTGGACAACAGACATCTTTCTGTGTTCCTTCTGTGTACTTCTTTGGATCAACAGGATTCACTTCATGGGATTTTAATGCTTCAGAATTGGCTACTGAAGATTCATCTACAAATATTTCTCCTTGCACTTTTTCCTGTATTGAAAAATACTGGTTAGTGGTTATGTAAGCTCTATAAAAGTGTTAACTAAATCCAATGCCAGGATTAACTAGATAGTCAAACTCTGATGGTTAAGCAAACTCCAGAGAAGCTTCAGAAAACCCCCTGACTGAGCTGAGAGGCAACAAGACAGCAATGCTACTGAAGGTGTTGAGGGGGCGCTTTCTAAGTGCTAATTTCAGGCTGAAGTAAGGAATTTGCTACTAACGCATGGCACTGCTAGAAAGTAAGAGCCATCTAAATAACTTATAAACCTGCTGTTCCAAATCCACAGATACTTAGCAGCTTTAAAGCACAAGGAAAAAATTAAACAACTTTATCTCAGCTTATGTTTGCATTCTCCTTTATCATCTATTCCACCACAGCCGTACAACCCTGAGCACATAAATATTAATATTATAGGTTTAAATGTCCAGCAATTAAAAATTAATTCAACTTCTTTTTCTACCTCACAGAAAATCTGGGTTAAACTAGAATACTTCATACAATACAGATGCCTCCACTCTCTGCACACCTGTAACTCAGTCTGATCTACAATAATGATAAAAGTTGCAGGTTGTAGTTTCGCACAAATCCAATGTTTTTCCTGGGTTTTTTGCTCACACTGAAATTATCTTAAGGATTTACTCTTGCTTTCTCCTTAAACTCTGGAAAGATATGATTAGTTTCATCCTATTTTGGTAAATAAGCCAACCTCATTGTGCTGTTTTTCAACTGAGTTAATTCTGTGTAAAATTTCTTTTGCTTTCTTCCAGTAGTCTTGCAGACATCTTTTTCTGACTTGCACATCCAATTCTTCTGCATTGTTCACATTTAATGAGTTATCACATAATTTCAGAGACAACTGTTCAGCTTTATAAAATATGAAACAACATTAATAGTTAATATTTTATCAATTAGCATTTAAAAAATATTTATTATATTTTAGTATGATGAGGGGCAGCCCCAACAATTTAGTGCAAAAAACAATTTTTATAAAACACAGGTTAATACATAAATGTTAACACACTTGAAATATAAGCTGCAGTTACAAGAGGTGAGCTTGCAATTACAGTTCCTATAAACTGTTTGCACAATAATACTGTGAAAAAAAAAAATACTTTTTCACT